CTGTAGTTACACAAGATTGTATGCATTGCTGGAGGTGTTCCTGCTCTTGCTCGTATTGTCTCAATACAGTCACTGGTGTCATTTTACAATCGTATGAAGGACCTAATATTTCGCCAAATTTGAAACTTAGCATCTGTTAACTAATAAAAACCAGCGGTCAACAGACTTCCGGTGTGTGTGCAATTCATTTAATAGCTCAGAAAATACATAGATATAGGCTTACCATTATCTCCGGCTTTGTATCGACAGAATATAACAGAAATTATATTTAAACCTGCCGTAGGAAAAAAAAAACAGTACACGGTACGCGTGCTCAACTTCGCCCGGTTACAAACGGAAAAGACGGATTTCACTTCCTGTACAAACAAAAACAGGTCCCCGCTGAACAATAAACAATTCTAACGGTCCGGTCTTTAATAACAACAAAAGAACACGGTACATTTAATATCTTCAGTTTTACAACTGAGATCATAACCAACATCTCATTTTTATTAGAATGGCCGGTAAATGAAAGGTTTATTGTTTTGTTCGCACTCAATGCGCGGTTAAATCGAGTTCAAACATTGAGCACTACTAATAAAAAATAAATAACACACACATATATACTTACTAATTTAATACTTAATTTACACAATATAACCGTTTAATTTTTCTTAAATAATATGTACTATTTTAAAGTTCAAAGTTTTGTTTCTCAACCATGCAGGCAAAGTTATTAGTTTACGTTATCGTCATGTTTGATATATCATTTATCAACAATAAAAACATAAATCACATTTTAATGTTCTTAGTATTTTAATTTGCAAATAAATGTATACAGGTGGTGAGGGAAAATCAAGAAGCATCTTTGGTACCTTCTTATATAATGGGAATGTCAAATTTGAATGGCCAGCAAATAAAATAAAATACCAGTTGACAAACATTTTGAAACAGAAAACCTAAACCTGTGCAGAAACCTTGACTGACTGGAATGAAATATGGAAGGATCTACATGGTCAACTGATGACTTGATGCACTTTACGCTCAACACTTTGACAAATTATTGTTGTGCCCCTTCAGTATTGGTAAAGTATTGGAGGGAAAAAAATTCAAGAGTGCTGAAATTTACTGACATCACAAAACTAAGTCACTTTGTGTGGAACGTACATTCATTTCACAGCATGTCAGTGCTTTGCTCACATGCTCAACACTGAGATGACATGAACAGAGCTAGAATTGCATAGAGTGTACTTGAATCTTCCTGTTTAATCTGATGTAACTGGGCTTTAATTTTTTTTTACATTTTGAATAACACATTTAGTAAGACATAAACATGTGATCAGTATCTAAAAAAAAAACAAAAAACAAAAAACTCAACTTACACTGAAATCACACACTGAAAGAGAATTCCTCATTGGTCATGACATCATTCCAAGAGCACATTGCTAATTAGAAGTTAATGGAATTGGGTTAAAGGAATGTATCTATAATGGTGGATATATAAACTTATCAAAGAAGCTAGTGGCGCTCTAAGATGGTGTAAACTGAAAGATACATGTGACAAATTCAAGTGCTGTGCAAAAGCATAAAAAAAAATCTAGGATCAGATTACATGAACCTTAACCTCAAAAAACAATGTTAGTCTTAACTGTACGCCTACAATTCTAAACTCTTGAGTAGTGAAGATGAATAACAAATCATACATTCTTTGTTTGGTGCAAACTATGATTTGTGGGATTTAAACCGAAGAAAGAGGGTGGCTGGAAAGTGTACAAGCAGATTTTACCTGATACAACAACTTAAGGCGAGAAATTAAATAAAAACACCCAAAGAAATAGTATCACCTAACTGCTGTTTCACGGCAAATAATTTTTCACAGATTTCAGCAATCCACCTGTTAAGATTCTTTACGTTTTTATTCAGCCAAACTGAAAAGAGACAAGCATTTAGTGGACAAACACTGAGCATTCCGACACAGCAGCAACATCTATACCCCTCTAAACGCAAATATGGGATTTTCTCGGGAATAGGGTGGGATAAAGCAAGCCACATAAAAACCAAAGAATATAAACGCAGCATAGGAATCATGTTGAAGGCACAATCTTCCCTGACACAATGAAACCCCCCAGGAGCAGCCAAGTCAGCGGTTCCGTTGTGAACACAGATGCAGAAAACAACAGAGGCTGACTGCCGACGGAGGGTCGGGGGTCGGGTAGAGACGGGAAGGATTGTGTGTGTCCTGGCCGCCCAGAGACAGCAAGACTCAATCCTGGGCTGAGCAAACCTCTCTGTGAGTCTCGGCCTCTAGTTCTGGAGCGCAGTGGCACGCCGGGCTACAAGAGGTCTGTGGAGTCTCTGGGCTGTTCTGATGGACAGGGCTGCCCTCCTCCGAGTCTGTGGCTTCTGATGGTGACCCCGTCTCTGTTTCTGGTTTACTCTCAACGCCTGTGGAGACACCCTGAACCTTCTTACTCAGCTCGTTGCGTTCTATCTGTAACGCACGACAGAGCTTTTCCAGTCGCTGCACCTTCACTTGCAGGCTTTCGAACTCCTTGTCTCGTAGTGTTTTCTACAGTGGACACAGAGAGAAATGACATAAAACTAAGATATTCAGCTGGTGTAACAAAGCTTTAACTGACAAATACGAGAGATCTGAGTACAACAATCACCTCCTCTGCCATTTCTAGCAGGGCTTTGTTACTACTTTCCCATCGTGATCTGTACATGGTGGTTTCCTTCTCCAGCTTCTTAATCTTCTTTGTCATCTGCGGCACAATACAAATACAGATTAAATCCCCTTCACATACAGGCTTTAGAGATTTAGGTTTCATGCTATGAAATATGTAACGACGCCCAAGATCTATGCATGTACTGTATACAGGCCTTGAAGTCCACATGAATCCACAGCATCCAATAATTATTAATCAGTCATTTACCTTTTCCATCTCTTGTTTGAATGTTGTGAACACCTCGTTGCTTTTGGAAAGCGTGTTTTGAAACTCTTCAAACTTCTCTGTGTACAATGAGAGCTGTAAAAGACAAAAAAAGGCATTTTAGCCTCAGATTAACTTAAGATAAACACATGAAAAGATAACACACATTTTTCTAATTGACTGTGTAAAAAACAACGCTAGGGAGTTCTGGGTAGTTGCTAGATCCCGCATTCAATGTAAATATACACTACTTTTCAAAAGTTTCGAGTTAGTAACATTTCTTAAAGGGTTAGTTCACCCAAAAATGAAAATTCTGTCATTAATTACTCACCCTCATGTCATTCCAAACCCGTAAGACCATCGTTCATCTTCAGAACACAGATTAAGATATTTCTGATGAAATCCCAGAGCTTTCTGACCCTCCATAGACAGCAACGTAACTGACACGTTCAAGGCCCAGAAAGGTAGAAAGGACATTGTTAAAACAGTCCATGTGACATCAGTGGTTCAACCTTAATTTTATGAATCTACAAGAATAGTTTTTGTGCACAAAGCAAACAAAAATAACGACTTTATTCAACAAATTCTTCTTTTCCATGTCAGTCTCCGCTGTACGTTCCACGAGAGTATCAAGACGCATGTGTGTGGTGCTGCTGACGCAGGAGCCGCCGTTCTGACATAGAACATGCATGCGCTGCACCTTGTTTACAAGCAGAAGATGCACACTGTATATAAAAGTCTTCGTAAACATGTCTGAAGATTTTGACAGAGAGGATGACTTGCAATTTTTTGCCCAGCCGTACTTATCTGAACCAGAATACAGACAATGAAGAGAGATGGATGTTCTACGTCAGAATGGCGGCTCCTGCTTCAGCAGCATCACACACATGCGTCGTGATACTTTCGTGAACGTACAGCGGGGACTGACACGGAAGAGAAGAATTTGTTGAATGAAGTTGTTATTTTTGTTTGCTTTATGCACAAAAAGTATTCTTGTAGATTCATGACATTAAGGTTGAACCACTGATGTCACATGGACTGTTTTAACGATGTCGTTTCTACCTTTCTGGGCCTTGAATGTGGTAGTTCCCTTGCCGTCTACGGAGGGTCAGAAAGCTCTCAGATTTCGTCAAATATATCTTAATTTGTGTTCTGAAGATGAACGAAAGTCTTACGGGTTTGGAACGACATGAGGGTGAGTAATGACAGAATTTTCATGTTTGGGTGAACTATCCCTTTAGTGTTTTTGAAAGAAGTCTATTTTGCTCACCAAGGCTGTATTAATTTTACAAAAAATACAGTAATATGGTGAAATATTGTTACAATTTAAAAAGGACTGTTTTCTATTTTAATATATTTTAAAATGTAACTTATTCCCGTGATGCAAAGCTGAATTTTCAGCATCATTACTCCAGTCTTCATCGTCACATGATTCTTCAGAAATCAAAGTCGAATATGTTGATTTGGTGCATTAGAAGAATTTCTTATTATCAATGTTAAAAACATTTGTGCTGTTTAATATTTTTGTGTAAACTGCGATACATTTTTTTCAATATTCTTTGATAAATAGAAAGTTCAAAAGTTCATTTATTTAGATTTTTTTGTAAAATTATTATTTTTGTAACTAATAACTGGAGCTGTCCTATAGGTGTGTAAACTATTCTATGTTCCTCACCTGCTGTTTCAGATGGACTTCTTGCTGTTTCATGAGCTCATACATCCTCTGGGACTCAGCTGCCTCTTTCAGGAGCTGAAAAAGAAAGAAATGACAAACCACATAAATCTTAATTAGTGACTGGCGGCTCTTGCCCTGAGGGCATAACCACACTGGCAGATATATAGTGCAAGTCTCACAGTACAGTTATGATACATTCATCTCCTCAATTAGCAAATATATTTGTTTCTGTAACTTCAGCTGACTGCATGTTTGCAGTACAGTGTTAAGGATGTAGAAACTCACAAAGTCTTTCTCCTTCTGATGTCGATCCTCCGAGCCCTTGAGCAGTGCCTGTGCCTGATGAAGCTTTGCATCTACCAGCTGTTGCTGCAGATCTTTCTGTTTGAACACCTTGTCAATATGCTAAGAGAGAAAACAACTCTCTTAGGTACAGCGGCTCCAAAACAACACAAGTCATACTTAAAAATACATGTATATCATTGCATTATACAGTATAAAATATAAAACCAAGTGTCATCTGCAAACAAATTTTGCTACAAATTATGCTCGTTTTATTTGGTGTACACAGTAATGTTGACTAGTCACATTAACATATATATATTTGAAAAGAATCCACATCCTTTGTCTTCATTTTGAACAGCACTGTAAATTCTCTATTTTTTATCATTTAAAGCCTAACAAATAGTAGCATAGATGGTACTGATTTACAGACAACTTCCATTATAAGTTATTACAAATGTATTTTCCCTTCCAGAAGTTTTATTTTCATCCTTTATTTCCATATATCTCACCTCCTCTCTGAGCTCATACTGCTCAATAAGCTTCTTCAGTTTGTCAGCCAGCTCCATGTTCTCCTGCCTTAGGTTTGCATTTCGCTTGTTGTGCTGCTCCATCTGAGCTTGGATGTCATTCAGTGTCACCTGGAAATGTGATGTCACTTCCTTCCTTTTCTCCTCCTCCAATCGGGCACGCTGCACACCATCCTCCTGCCAAGCACAGCAAACATCAATCCATTTATCTCATTAAGCAACATATAATGCAACAAGCCTCTGGTTATGTGAAAAGTGAAGTTGGAGCAGACTGATAAAACAATACTTTGAGCAGAAAGGGGAAACAGCTGAGGCAGGACTCTGTTCTGATCACCTCTGAATTTAAATTTTGCATGAGGCAGGCACCACACACTTGATGGATTATGCTAAACCCTCTGAGCGTAAATAACTGATATCATGGTATTTGCATTCATATCAAGTTAGTGTACCTTAAGTGTGCGGTTGTGTCTTTGCAGTTCTCGACAGAGACTCTCCAGCTTGCTGCGTGCCAGGATGGCTTTGCTGTGCTCGTTTCTTAAGTGGTCCTTCTCCTGGATCAGCTGCGTCTGCTTCTTCTGCAGAGACCGCATCTGTTTCTGAGCATTACGGTTCTCCTCTAGCTGAATGAAACAAAGCAGGACAAGAGCATTGTTATAATTTGTCTAAATCAAGGCGGTCATGACAGCAGAATATAGGTAGTCAATACCATATGCAGTATTCAATCACTAGGGATGCGTGATACTAAATTTCTGCAATGATACCGATTATAAAGAATTCAGATAGTTTAGTTTTCTTAAGGGAAAACAAATCTCTCCCAAGTAATGCTGTAAACTATACAGGGAACTCTCTCATTGACTATTTTATTAAAGGTTAAAATTAACAACAGAGCCCAAACTATTAAATTCAACTGCTATTTATTTTCAGATATAATAATAATCACTTAAATATACTCAAATAAAAAATGAAATGTCTGTATACAATTCAGTTGAACACTTTAATAAAAGACTATAAATGTTTTTTATAGCCAACTACCCAACTGTGAACACTGGATAACTTTCCTGAGGTAAATGCAACAATAAGTGACATTGATCACAAGCTTTTGTGTGGTTGACACTGATTGAGTGATTACATGTGACATGATACATTTCGATAAGTTGTACTTTATTTTTCAACATACCTTCTGATATTCATTCATGTATATTTTGTGCTATAACTTGTATTAAAGTGGAAGAGACTCCAGCTCCTTGCTGCCGCTTGAACTGAGCCAGATAGTACAGCGATCTGTCAAGACACATTTAAGAGCATCAAAATGCCACTTATTGTTTGAATTTTGTGACAGATGGCCGATAGTACAGATTATACCACCTACCGTTACCAATTATAGGCCGATATATCTGTGCATCCCTAG